TATTAATGAGTTTTTTGGGTTCATTGAGAACATGGTTGTTGTTCAATAATAAAATTATTCCTCAAAAATACAACTTGCCTAATAATTCTGCACTCCCTATAGAGAGTGATGTTCTCAACAGCAGAAGCAAAACCATCAGCCCATGAACTACAACATCACTTCCAGCAAGCTTTCTTCAGCCCTTCCGGACCTAGCTCAGTATCAGAAGGTCCAAAAGCTAACAGGTTTTCAGCCTTCATGTCGCCATTCCCTAACACAAAAAAGTTTGGAATCAAAGTTCCTGGGTGATGGCCAGGGAGAGGGAGGGCTGGGGTATTTCTGTGTGAATGTCAGATAGAAAACACTTGCAGTAAATAAATAAACATAAACAGGTACACACAGGATGTTCGTGTTGTTTACCTGTGTCTCAAATATAAAAGCTTCCAAGCTGTTGAGTGTTTTCTCTCGTTCCTGTTTGGCCAGATCTCGGTCTGTCAAATCCTGCAGTCTGAAATCACACAAAGACTCCTTTAGCTGAGAAAACCAGGAAACCAAAACAGAAAATAAATGAAAATCAAGCTGTACTTTTTCTTAGAGGATGTCAGGTCATCGGCCGTGGGATCAACAATGTCATGGATAAGGAGTTCCAGTGTGATTTCTTCAGAGATTTTGCTCTTTTTCTGAGGTCTGGACTTCTTCTCCACATCAGTGTTTACAGATTTGTCTCCGTCTTTTTCCTCCTTCGCCAGGAGACAGATGGGTAATATCAATAACAGCTTTGTGAAGGCTAATCTCTCATGAATATACATTTTCACCAAACACTACACAAAATTTTAAAAAGGTGCACAGGCAGATAAATGTCAGCATTTGAATTCAGACCGAGGCATTTCACAGAGTATTATAAATGAAGCTCTTACCTTGGCCTCGGTCGTGCTTCCTGCCTCTTTGGCTTTTTCTTGGTTTTTGTCTTCACTTGAATTTTTCTCTGAATCACTGGGTTTCTCATTGGTAGCCTTGTCTTTGTGATTCTCATCCTTGCCGTCCTCATCCTTGCTGTCCTTCCCAGATTCTGGAGGTACTTCCTCCTCATCCTAGGCACAACAAATCAAGAGCCAATGCCATGCCGACCCTTTGCTCAGTGTTGGACAATCATTTATGTTCTTTATATAATGGTAAAGTTAAATCACACTTGGCAAGAAGGTATTAACATTCCTAGACCAGCATGTATTGCTTTGGATAGGTGACGTTACCTGAACAGGTTCAGTTACATTTGGAGCAGGTTCTGACGATCCTCCTCCAAACAAAGTGGAAATGGTGTTACCGAGTTCTGGAAGACAGCAAATCGTTCCCTCAGTTAAATACGACAACTCACACGCTCTACAATATAGGCCATTGCAAAAGCACATACGATGTCAAATCAATCAAAACGAGCAGAACTTCCTGTGTGCTGCATAACAGAAGTAGTGAAACATAAGTGAGTGGGGGGAAAAAAAAAAAAAAAGGAGTTAATGATGGACAAGAGCAGTGAGTCGCCAAGGAACAAGGGTTCTTATCTACAAGTGTTTGCAGTTATTCTATAACAGACTTTAGGTCACTCAATAAAAGTAAACGTATTAATTTTTATCTTAACATCAAAAATATTTAAGACGATTAACTTTTTAATTAAAAATGACCTGGCTGCTGGAGTGCATAAACTCCTCTGCTATGACTGCAACTGATAAAGCTGGTCTTAGCGCTAATAATTTTGAACAGTTACTGTTACTGACACCAAAGGAGTCCGAGCTGTGACTAAATACTAGCTATCACATTAGCATAATGAGCAAATAAGGCAGGAAGCAGAAAGTACAGGGCACAGAGCCTTAATCAACTTATGTGCTAAACATCAGCAAGAATCCAACAATTTAACTTCTCTGTCAAGCTACATTTTGCTACTTTGTAGTAGAGAGCTTTTTATGTAACAGTGTCAGATGCTTGTGTCAGCTTTAACTTGATGTCTGGCTGCAGTCAAAGTTTCATCACAAGATATCAGTCTGGGGTTAGTCCCCTCATGTTAGCAGTATGAGTTGAGAATGGATTCAAGCACTAGCTTATGTTTGCAAGAAACCTACTAGTTAATGTTGATTCCTCCTCTTTCTCCTCTACCACAGTCTCAAAGACAGACTCCACCTGTGTATGAAAATGACATTTTTTTAAACATCGGTTTGCTTAAATATCACACAAAGTTTTTCCATTAACACTGAAAGCTGTTATGTGAGCATGGAACGTCAATCCTCCCATGTTTGGATTTCACATTTGGAGTCCAATGTTTTGGCTTGAAATTCATCAATCCTAATTACCAACATTACAGCCAAAGATTAAAAAAAAGGAAATCCACAAGCACAGTTATCTTCTTTTAATAGTAGTTGCAAATGATAGTACAGTAGTGAAATGCTTTGTTGAAACTCTGCCAGGAGGAGAAGGCAGAACTTGAATAAGTGACTGTCGTGAGGCAGCTCATGTTAGTTTAACTGACCCGGTCTAGCAGGAGCACTCCACTTTCATCCATGTTGAAGTGGGCTTTAATTCCTTTCGACTCTGCATCTGCATGCTTCTGAAAACTACTCCCCACTCCAGACAGCTTGACTGTGGTCAGGTTCAGAGAGCCGAACACACTGTGACACACGAGCAAGAAGCACACAGTTTTGCCTTACACTTACATCCAATTAAAGCGTGAGGGCACACACTGATGGGATGGAATACATTTAAATATCTTCTTTTTATGGGGTTTTGCCATAAACTGTTAAAATGAACCTCATTTCATAGTATTTTTCAAAGAGTTCCAACCTGAGTTCTTCCTGACTGAGGAAGCTGAGGTCACCGTAGTTGATGTTGAAAACAAAGTCATCGTTGTAACGGTTGAATGTAATGACCTTGCGCTGGGGGTAGGTTGCCATCCTCTGGAACAGGATGCGTTTGTTATGTTTCAAGGTTTTGACACCTTCCTCCTCCTCCACCTCCCGGGTAAACTCCACCTAATACAATGACATGCCACGCAGTCAGTGTTGACATGGATTTTACTCTGAATTTCCCATTACTCTAATCAGACTAATCAAAGCTCAGTTAAGTATGATTGTACTCATGATGCACTCAGTTTGAGGCAGCAGAGGACCTGAATGCTGACCTGAATGGGGAAAACAGCTGCATCTCGAACCAAGAAAGGTTTGACCTTAAAAGCCTTGCTCAGGGCAGCGGCCTGGTACACTGCACCCATGGCTGCTGCCTCATCTGCATTGATGTTCTTCCCCAGTTCCTCTCTGCACGTAGAGAAAACAAACTTAGTATAGTTTGGAAAATTAAAATTTTGAGAATGATGGAAACATCTCTATGGACAACACTTACTTGCCCACAGCTTTAAGGAGCACTTCCTGGACCTTTGGCACACGAGTGGAGCCTCCTACTAAAATCACCTGCTCAATATCCTCCTGTTGTCACAAACATAAAACGTCTAATAGTCTGGTGATGACAGAACTTCTAATTCTGTTGTTGTATCCCATGTTTGGAGCCAAATCCGCCCACATCCTGTCACGTTGAGCATACTGACCAGTTTCATCTCTGCAGCAGTCAGGGCATCCTGCACTGGCCGAGGCACTCTTTCAAACAGATCAGCACACAGTTCTTCAAACTCACTCCTGGTCACCTTAGCTTTGAAGTCAATGTCATCCATTAAACCTTCCACCTGGGTAATTTAAAAAAAGAAAAAAAGATAAAGTAAGAAAGTGCAAGATTTCTGCGAGTTTAAGAGTGCAGTGTGGATTTCAGATTTTGAGATTCTGGCAAAGCGTTTTCATGTGTTGCAGTTTATCACAGTGACTTTAGCTACAACATAGACCATTACAATGACATACGCAACCGGTAAGACGGAGTGAGTGCTTGAAGTTCCTGTCTCTGGACTCACCTGGGCCATGAAGTCTACATTTGCACTCAGCACAGTCTTGAGCCTCTGAGCTTCTTTGAGAAGCTTGGCCATAGCCCGGTGATTTTCCCGCACATCTTTCTTGCTCTTCTTTTGCTCATTGAACAGTCTGGCCAGGTGGTCACGAAGTCGCAGGTCCATCTCAAAGCCCCCCAAACCCCGATCAAACCTTAAGTTAGAACACATTTGCACACTTTAGTCTGGATGGATGTAAAGTAGGCAGTTATTTTATAGAGCAAATTACAATTTAATAGTTTTAATACTGACCAACAAATACAAAACCCTTTCTAGTTAGTAACAGCTACAACATGATAAACAAGCAAACGCATGAAGCACCAGCTCCCTGTATTCCAACTCCTGCCACTGCGGTGTCAGAGAACTTCTGCAGATGGCAGATATACTGGAAATCAGAGGCGTACAATGGAAACAGTACTGTCCTGTTTCCATGCAGCAGATAAGTAACAGCCATACCTACTCTATACTTCGACACCAAACTCGCTCATCTATGTCTTTTTGGACTTTGTAAGGTAAAAACCTTACAATATCACAGAAAAACTGAACAATCAGACGAATCCCTGTGAGCAAGCACTTTAGCGTCATGGGGAAGGAAAAACTTCCCACTGACGCCAAATAAACAGGTGGTTATTAACGTTAAGTGGAAGTAAAATGATCAGAAGTATGAATGCAGTATTTCATATACAGTCAAAAACTATACCCAGATAGCTTACTGGACTGTACATAGAACGTGTATCTTTGTTAAGATAATAAAATAAGAGGCAAGTTTTGTGTCTGCATTTGGCATTCTTGTTATAGCTGCAACTTAGACTGTGATCAGGCTTATAGAATGAGAGAGTCAACAAAAAATATTTCGTAATCTTTGAATTACATTTTAAGCAGGTAGTTTATAACACAGTTTAACATCCTTTGAACAAACAAACTAGTGAGTAAGATGACCACTGTACATTTTATACATATCCCTGTACATTTTGTACGCATCTCCATACAATTTTTGTTACCTGTATATACGAACTTCAGTTGCTTATGTATAGAGGACCATTTTGTGTCTTCTTTTTATATTTTATATTCCCCTTGCTATAAGAGCTGTGTAACACCGAAATTTCTTATCCGTGGGATAATAAAGGTTTATTCTATTCTACTCTAGTTCCAAACTCCTTTAGTTTAGGTATATCCAAGTTTTTTTCTTGTTCGACCATTATCAGAATCAACTCTAATAGCTGCTTCTCTGTCAGTGGCAGTGCCGCTGCATGGATCAATGGACTCACCCAACACCTCGGATCTGTAACTGGGGCTGAGTCCCGGACTCCTTGGTTTTGACAGTCTGATAGGTAACGATTGTGGCAGTGGTGCTGCCAGAGCCCATATCATAAAACATCACATGCTGGAAGGGAACGAGATCAGGCTTTCAGCAGTTTGTAATCACTCATCACATTTTTAAACAACATCAAATATCACCTCTGATCAATCAGCCCTGTAGTCAGACTTTTTCTGAGATTAATAAAGTTTTATGAAATAAATGAAATCAAATCAAATGGAAAGGGAATTTTCCAGACTGCAAGTTGTCATAAAATTGGAGATGTTGCTAAATCTAGTGTACCTGAAAGCTAAAGCATGAGAGACGAATCTGACATGATCACGACACAATACAAGCTCCAATCTGAGGAATAAGGATCTTTCTGCAAGTGAGGAAAACTCCAATTGCTGAATGTAGGAAGATCTACTCGAAGAGTAGTTGCTGGTTATGATTGCTTATTTACAGTGTCCGCAGAGATCGCCAGTTGGTAGTCCACGTATGTAAAATGTGTTGGTAGGATGAGAGTTAATGCATGTATTTAGGTATAAAGCTTGAACCTTTACCTTAGCTGTGCTGTCAATATCTTTCCTCCTGAAGACCCCATAGTTTAAGGCCACAGCCGTGTTGTCATTGATGAGCTGAAGGACCTTTAGACCTGCAATGTGTGCAGCATGCAGGACTGACCTGCGCTCTGCCTGGTTGAAGAAGGCTGGGACAGTGATCACTGCATCTTTGATTGTCTGTTCTGTGAATTGAAGAGAATGTTTGTTTTTTTTAATATGTCCTGAACATATGTGAACATGCCTCACAATGATACATCATCTGCGTCAAGCAAACTAACCTGCAAAGTCCTGAGCCAGTCCACGAGAGTAATTAAGGACCATCCCCAAGAGCTCCTCTGGTGTGTACTGCATTTCTCTGACAGAAACATAATGCACTTAGGTGAGCCTGACTAGGAGAGTGTTGTGTTTCTGGTAATAACCGATTAATAACATCGGTAAAATTCTGGACTGATGTGTTAGGCCAGGGGTGGGCAACTCCAGGCCTCAAGGGCCGGTGTCCCTGCAGGTTTTAGATGTGTCCTTGAACCAACACAGCTGATTTAAATGGCTAAATTAGCTTCTCAACATGTCCTGAAGTTCTCCAGAGGCCTGGTAATGAACTAATCATGTGATTCAGGTGTGTTTATCCAAGGTGAGATCTAAAACCTGCAGGACACCGGCCCTCGAGGCCTGGAATTGCCCACCCCTGTGTTAGGCAGAACTCTCAACAACAAAACACAAAATCGGGTAATAATTTCTGGAGGAATGGCATTGACCAGTGAAATTCCAGAGATCCAAGAATCAATGTCAAAGCTGTGAAGCCACTCTGGTAGCACACAATAACACACTTTTGGTGTTTACTTTACATCTGTTCCTAGTGTATACAGATTTTGTAATATGAATATGCGTGAATGTGTAGTGAATAAATAAAAACAAGGTAGCACATAAAGAGGCTCACTCTGAGTTTTTAAAGTGGACAGTGCCTCTCACTGGGTCCTCCTGCAGATGGTGTTCAGGAAAACGTTTCTGGTAGAGTGCCACCTGGAGGTTCTCATGCTTTTTACCCAGGAGACTTTGGAGATGTCTATAAACACTTTTGGGGTTCTTGACGGACTGAAATGTGGTACAAAGCATGGAAACATTAACAGCATACATGGCAATATCTGAATATGCAGTTGTGATTTAGCCGATTAAGTCAATTTTGGAAATTTTAGAAGAAGTCTTACTACTCCCATTGCACTGTCTCCAAAAAGTCTCTCGTTCTCCTTGAGACATACAACTGTGGGTGTTTTCCTCCTCGACTCCCTGATGGAAAAGACAATACATACAATGGTAGCAACGCATGCTTTTCTTCTATTTTTGAGCATATACAAGAAATAAGGAACGCAATGGTGCCATTTTCTCTATTTGGGAATGTGCTCTCACTTGTTTAGAACAATCTCCATTGGCACGCCAGGTTTAACTATTGCTATTTTCATCCACTCGCTGCCCAGGTCAACTGACATGACAGCCACGGTCACTGGAGACAAAAAGATCAATTGTTTAGTAAAGCAGGCAGACAGCTAACACCTACCTACAGTGTACTTTTTCTATTCCACTGCATGTGTTCATCAATGAGACCATGTTTCAAACTGTGCTGCTTTTACCAGTAACCTATGGTTACTGTTAACCGTAAGTACCAGAAGAAAAGTCAAGCTAAATTATTATGTTACCTATGTGAGAAGGGAACATTGCCAGAACAAGACAGAAGAGAGCAGCCGGCACCAGCTTTCTACCCTCCATCACGAGCTGTAAAAATCAGAAAAGGGAAACATTTTAGTAAAAAAATAAAGGCATTAGCAGAACTGATATATACCCTAGCTGGTCCTAACAAGTATCCTCACATAAGCTTTAAGATGTTCTTTTGCTCATTTATCCTATACTTTTCTTGAACGTTTTTCAAGTGTAGAGTATATGTCTTGATAAAACAGACTTGTTTTATCTGCTGCGTGTCGGTTTTTAAACAACAGTCCAAAAGTTTTAATGTGTCCTCGCCAGGTGATGACCTTGGCTTAAGGATATGAAAAACATGTATTGCACCTGATTCCACCTACTTAGGCATACACTATTCTGAACACGTGGCATTAATAGCATTATCAAACAGTGTGCTGAAGCCACAGCTTCAGATCCACACCGAGTACCTGCACAATGCTTTTGTTAAAGGGAGAAAACAAAAAGGAACACGAATAGAAACTTCTAGTACCCATCGAGATATGACACATGAATGAAAAACGGATGTACACCAGAAAGCCTTACTTTTTCATTTTATTACATATTAATACGCCACCACTTTTTTAGCTTTTCCGAACCTCTATACGTGCTGGCTAACGATAAGATGACCAACACGCCCCTGACTATTACAGAGCCAGGTGAGATACACACCAGTAAACGGTCTACTCAAGTGCAGCTGGACCAGAAGTGTACGCTCTAAACAAAAGTACCGATACGCTGATACAAAGACCACTAACAGAAGTTGAAGGCTACAGTTAGCTAGTATACTGTCTGCAAAACCATCACTATAAAAGCATACATTTATCGATATAATGCTACAGCGCTAGCATTTAATCAGTCTTCAGTCGGCACAAATAAAAGTGAAAGACACCAACATACTGTGCTTTTCCAGGCGGGTTCTGAGGTTAGTTTCTCGGTTGGTATCTTTATTCAGAGCTTCTTTGTTGTCACACTCGGTAGTTTTGGTTCCCCTTATCACCGGCTTGTTCTCAGTTGTCGGGCCCGGAACGCGGCGTCACCTCATTGGATCCACTGAAGCCGCGACCGGGAGAAAAACTGTGGTCAAGTTACTTAAAACCAAGTATACTGTAACCGGTTACCTTTTGGGATGAAAACCAATCGAAGACTGACGATAAAGCGACCGAGCGCAAGTTATTAGTTTTTCCCTACAGTTGATTGAATTGGAAATAAAGAACACATTTATATTTATATATTAAAATTGTTATCATTGACATTTTCTAATTTCGCAGGGGGGGTCGTATAAAGTTGGTGTTATTGATTAAAGGAGCTGAACTAGTTATGTGCTCTTGTTATGAAGGAGACACCTCTAAGCTTCCGGTAATTACTTTCCACCGTCTTGACGACTGGTCCCAATGTAACGCTAGAGCCTGCCCACCGTGTTCCACGCACTGCTTAGTGATTGGTCCACGCGAAATCCTGAACCCAAATCTCGATCCCATTGCTACACGTCAAGATAGTGGGCGTATCCGGAATGACGCAATTTCCAGGTAAAGCGTGAGCACGCCACGTGCCTCCATGGAATAAACTGTTTTATTGACAAAAGTGAGGACATTTTTGTCAATTTTTTAAAACTTTATGTTGTTTACTCTCACAATGGCTGTTTTAATGTGTTCATGTGTGATTTTAATATATACCCTATAGAAATCCGCATGGAAGTCAGTTGCAAGACCTGCGAATTCTGTCCGGCACCCACGGTGTGGGACGGAGAGATTTCGCAGGTCTTTCCTCCCCACTGCTGTCAGACTCCACAACAAAGACTTTAACTGATCAAACACACACATCCACACATGTGCAATAATACTAAGTGCAATAATCTTTTCTGGCATCGTTGTATTTTTACTCAGTTGTATATAGCATTCGTATTCTATTTTTATCTTATTGTATCTTTTTATTCTATTTTATTCTACTGTATATAGTATATTATTTTATTCTATTCTGTACAGTTGTGTACTGTATTTATTCTTATTGTATTCTAATTTTTGCGTCATAACTTTTGCACTGTCCACTTCCTGCTGTGACAAAACAAATTTCCCACGTGTGGGACTAATAAAGGTTATCTTATCTTAAATTACTACCTGATGTAGGAAATAGAATTAGTGGTTTATAAGGTGCTTGTGTACAAAAGCTGCGTGCCAAGTCCAAATGATGAACACTTCAAAGCGAACAACATACATCTACATACTCAGAATGCCATAAACAGTAATGTCAAAGAGCAATGTTGACAGTTTAAAGGTTACAGAGCACACAACACAAAATATGTCAGGAAGCACTGAAACACTTAATGACGACTTTATTTTCAAATGTAATGCTCAGGTTATAGTGCCAGGCGTAATTTCAATAAAGATCAATGGCTGACTTGTTTTTGATTGCTATGTGCAAGACAGTACATACACATACACGCATTAGCTAAAGCCTCCAACACGTGACTATTTAAATCACAGTATGACCATTTTAAAACACAAATGTAGGCAGTTTCCAGTCATTGGCCCAAACTGAAACAATTATGTAAAAAGGACCATCAAAATTACTAAAAGCAGGTGGCTTTAATTTCTGATAAATAAAGGGGGCAACACATGCAGCATCTTGTCCTGAACCTGAATAAGATGTAGCCTCTCAGGTAAAATTGAGATTGTAAATACAAGATTTCTAGCTGTTTCTCTTGGTGTGGATGAGAAGGTCCCTCTGCAGGTTGACTTCCAGATTCCCTACAGATTTGCTGCCAGGTGGGTCAGTAACTAGGGTCAATTTGTTGAAGACTCCTCGGCCAAAATAGTCAGCTACCACAGAGAATCCATCGTTAGAGCTGCGTAACTGTAAACCAGAGCAAAGACAAAAGAAAACTTGTATTTTCCAATATTCCTGTAGTGTTCAAATAAGCTTTTTAAATAACAAAAGCAGGTTATTAGACAATTTTAAAGCAGACCACGCACATATTCAACATGAACACGTTCTTTGGCTTTTGGTGTACGACTTATTGTTACCTGTCTGTTGAAGTGATCGTGCAAATCGCGTTTTTGGTCCTGGGCACGTAGCATGTCCATGACTTTACGGTTTTCTGGAGTGCAAGTTGGGCACTCAGCCTCGCTCTCAGCATAGCTTTCAAAGCAGTGTTGGTGGAAGGAGTGGCAGCACAGGAAGTGAACAGATGGCAGGTCCAGTGGGCTGTTGCACATGTTACACTTTGTCTTCTGGAATATCTTGGCACTGTGTGGAAATATTAAGGTTAAGATTTATGGTCATACTTGGCAGTTTCTATAACTCTACAGCACTCTACTGACATTAGCAGTAAGAGATAAGTTGGGTGCATAAGTAAATAGATGGTGACAATATTCTTTGTTATTTTGCTGATGTACACTACAATAAGATTCATACATCTTACAACAGAAAGAAACATGATCAAGATGTGACTGGAGTCCAGACTTTTGAGTTTAATTTAAGGGGTTTACCAAAAATACCGCATTAACAGTTTCAGTTACTTTCATAATCTCAATGGGAAAATTAGTTCTCAGATACAAACTTGTGCTTGTATCGTGACATCAGAAGTTCATTACAAGTACTCAATCTGCGCATAGTAACTATTTAAAGGAATTTTTAAGTTGTCCACAGAGGTGTTGATATACTGTGCTGTGAAAAAGTAGGTGCCTGGGTCCTGATTTCTTATCTTTTGAATATTTGTCAGATTTACATGTTTCAAACTAATTTGATTAAAGACAACCCAAGCAAATACAACATGCAATTTTAAATTATTATTTCATTTATCAGGGTAAAAAAGCTATCCAAACCTATCTGGCCATATAGAAAAGTAACTGCCCCCTAAAAATAATAAGTGGCTGTGCTACCCTTGACAGTTGGAGCTGGAACAAGCAACAGTAATAACAGGCAAATTGCTATGGAGGAATTTTGCCCCACTCTTCTTTCGAGAACCATTTTTGTTCAGCCACATTGGAGGGCTTCCACACATAATCTGTCCAAACTTTGACTAGGCTACTACAAAACCACCTTTTTTTCCTCAGGAATTATGAGGTGGACTTGTTGTTAGGTTATGCAACAAAGATAACACAACTCCACCTGAGCTTCAGGCCACAAACTGATGGCCAAATACTCCTTCAGAATTTTAGGATAGAGAGCAAAATTCAAGGTTCTATTAACTACAACAAGTCGTCCTGAAGCAACAAAGCAGCTGCATACCACCACCATGTTTGTTTGTAGGTATGATGTTCTTTTTGTGAAATGCTGTGTTCGTTTCATACCAGATGTAATAGGGCAGAAACTTTCCAAATAGTTCAACTTTTCTCTTGTCGGTCAACAGAGTATTTTCTGCAAAATCTTTGAGATCATTGTGTAAAATGAGTCTTTGTTCCAAGGAGGGGGTTTCTGCCATTTTTGCCATGTCTGTTTTCCAATCCCAAAAGCCTTACAAATGGCTTTGTAACCCCTTCCAGACTGATGTCAAAACTTATTTCTTCTGTGATCTTTTACTTTGTCATTTAAGTGATTTTCTTTTAGGTGTTTCACTAACCAGACTCGGGTGTGTCTAGTGAAACTGAACTCATCTTTCCAAAAATGTGGTTACAGACAATTAATGATTTCACATTTGGTAGTTATTTAATTAATTAAATCATCATTTCAAAACTGTATTTTGTATTTACTCAGGTTATCTTTGTACTCACTCAGAAACATGTAAGTGTGACAAATACGCAAAAACAAAGTGAAATCAAAAAGGGGTAAACACTTTTTACACAAGCTACAACAGAGAAGGAGCAGAGTAGGAGAAAGACAAAGAGTGTGACACAAAAATCAATAAATCCTCAAGGGGAGAGTTTTGCATCACCAAAACACCTAGAAAATAGGATGTGACCAAGTTCAGAAAACAAGTTTTACTGTCAAAGTCAACAATAAAAGACTTCTTCAACAATATTCAAACAATTTACCTCAATATGAAAACCTCTGTTTACACTTATAAACAAATTTATATATGAAACTAAAATGAACTAGCAGACACATAAGAGACGGAAAGCCAATAACACTTCATCATACACCATCAGCTGTGGTGAACACAGTGAAAGCAACTCAAGCACATTTCAAGGTAAATAAATGGAATGATCCAAATATTCCTCTCGTTTTTGAAATGAAGTCAAAACAGCAGAAAGAACCACAAACAAGCAGCAAGTCAGCAGGAAGTCCAAAGAATTTGGCAATTTACAAGGATTTCAGATTTCACTCACTTGAAAGCATACAAGTACTGAAAATAAAGCAGGTGGGATTTGGCATGTTATTGCAGCTGCTCTCAGCTGCCATACCTTTTTGTGCCAGGTCAAAATATGGTCAATAAACTTACAGCCGGAATGAAATTATATGCCTATTCAAGGATTTAGCCACTAGGATGTGAAGGAAATGGGTTTAAGAGCCTCCAGGTGTATTAAACTGTCCTCAATCAGGGCAAGGTTGTGAGACGCAGAGTTTTGAAAGAAGAGGCCACTCAAGCATCTCTGGGGTTCTGCTTCCCTCCTCTTGTTTATTTGGAAATTATTATTATTTTATGTCTCGTCAATTAAACACTGAGCTGTTCGCGGGGTGAGGAACCACAACTCAAGATTGACTGGACCAAGTGAGCTGGCCTAAATCTTAAAAATGGAAGCCTGGTTCGTGACTTTACAACGAGGGTCGCTGTCCAGGTAAGCCCACACTTCTTTCCATGTCTTGTCGACAATATCTTGTACCTGGTACGTGCAGTGAATGTTAGTTAGAAAGCACTTAGAAAATGTGCTTGTGAATGCACAAGTTGTGTAAAGCGCTTTGAGTGCTCAGTAGAAAAGCGCTATATAAGAACCAGTCCATTTACCATTCACTCTGCGGATTGTCGCTAGAGTGATGCGAAATTAATCTTTATGCACATAGACAGATTGGCTTGGCAACCATGACACTGCAGTTCAGGTTGTTCTCTCTCAGTATTCTCCCTCAGATGCTTAGGACCTTATAGCAGCAGACACGACTCTCCTCACCATTACACGAACATCAGGTCAGTTTGTCAGAGCTACAGTTGGATTTTTATACAATTTAGTAAAGTTCACAGTGGAAGCAGTCAGAATGGAACAAATATCTGAGAAATGTATCAACTGCAAGTTGTTTGGAAATGTCCCAGAAAATGACCTGAATGTGAGATCTGCAAAATTCCTAT